CATGAGAGAAGGTGTTTTGGGACAGACATGATCTCAGCACAGCTTTAACACACTCAGCTTGAAAACTCTGAGAAAAGGGGAGATTGAAATATTGATCCTATGTCTTTTTTTTTTTGGGTTTTTTTTTCGCTTTGGTTCTCCATTCCCAAACCCATCATTTACACTTCTCCTAACTATGGGGTACTCTTAGGATGTCCCTCACGTTACCTAAATTTCAAGTAATACCGAACCAAATTAGACTTCTTCCTTTAAGAAGAAAATTTAACCACAAAAATACACRCAAAGCCACAGTATACATATGTATGTATTCACACTCTATGAATCAGCTAGAACAGAAAGCAGTTTAAAATGAAAAATAATCAGGCAGAAGGAGGACACAGAGTTCAACAGTTAAGTACTCACAAGTACTCTATTCTTACTCACACCCCTTCACACTTTCTAGATGCAGGCTGGCAGCCCAGAGCAATGGCCACCAGCAGTACTCACTACCCAAACTGTTCAGATCCTGCTTAAGTTATCATACATGGGAGTAACTTTTCTTACAAACCACCCCTTGGTAAATTCAATCTAACATGCTCAGCTAAGTTGGAGAAAGGATCAGAGGAATATGTCACAATGCCTCAGCATCTTCAAATTCCGTATGCTGTATAAAAACCCTCCTACAGTTCCTACAGCTGCAGCAGTAATGGCATTAACCAAAGCCATAACAAGAAGTTAAGAGGAACATCWTTTTCTTCTACAACAAACAAAAATGTGTACTGTATAGCAGAAGTCCATCTGTTTATCAGGTTTACTGAGTAGACAACATCCATCAGCAAGGCTTCTTTGGAGACTCCTGCCCTGAACTACTGATCTAAGATCCAGTTAGCAAGTTTGATTCTGTATCATTAGGAAATCCTCATATCAAATACACCTAAGGGCAGAATCACCTTAACCTTTTCTGAAAACGTCACTCAGCACAGGTGTGATCCTGCAGTTAAAGCTACCTAACTACTTTTCTTCCACAAATGCTGTGGAGTATTTCCAATACCAGTAAAAACCAGTCTTTGTTGACCTAACCATATAATTGGACATTATCTCCTTCCTCTAGATGTAACATTGGTATAGCAGTTCACTGCTGAGAAACAATACTCACAATCTGCAAGAACTTCATACAGCTTCCCAAGAGAAAGAAGACCTACCAGATTTCTTTACAATAGRACTGTAAATCAGTTTAATAAAAAGGTGACAACACCTACCTAGATTTAGGYGGGCTTTTTTTCCTCTTGCTTAAGYAGATGAGAAGATAAGAGAAATAAAAACCCAACATAAAAATCATTCCAAACTAGAGCAGAAGCAAGGGTGTAAGACCCAAAATGCCACAGCAGACTTGTATGTTTTAACATGGCCACTGCTATTACTAAAATCACACACAGTRTTTCGGTTTCTGTTTAATACATGCTTAGGGTTCCAAAAAATTACTAAATCTGTCTTCAGAATCAATTCTTCAAAAGTGCTTAGATTTATTCTTGTTTTGGTCACCCGCTGATTGTTGACAGACTGCACACAGATACAGCTCCTGGTACCAGGCCAAATTTACATTTAATCTGGGGAAAACATATTCAGCATGGCTTTTTATCTGTATATTGAAGAAAACAGGAGCCAAAGTTTCACTAMTACAAAAACATGTTGAAAATGGTATGTTGGCGTGTTATGAAAGTCACACTAAGCAACAAGAACCACCCCTAAAATGGAAAAATTAGATTAACTTTTTTGGCTGATTTGAGAAAGAACAGAGTAAATTTGTTATAGTCCTTAGATTATTAAATTCCATTACTGTTTTTAAAATAAAAGGCGATACCTGGACTTTAAAATTTAGAGTCCTGGTTTCCTACTTGTGCTCCTCTATGYAGTGATAAATTGCCACTTTCCTTACATATTTTTGTGTCTAAATTATATTCATTCCAGTATAAAATTCATCTAGTGCATAAAAAAGGGAAAATGCCCTTATCTAAAGACCTTGTGTCTTAAAATGTCTTTATATATAAAAGACCATTTTGATCTCCAATTCTTTCTCATTTTAAGTTCTGCTGCCTAGTTTTAAATTATTTAGAAAAGCACATACCTCTGCTCCCTCCTGCCCCACATAATCCACGACACCTTTCATACCCACAGCAGAGCTATAACTACATGTTAGCAGGTCTGTGAGTACAGATCTTATCTTTTTGTAAGATGCAGTATTTTTCAGTAAAGCACATACTTTATTGTAGTTAATTCTGTGTTGACATTTTAAGTAACATAACTTGTAGTCATGTTGAATTAATTCATTTTACATGCAGAGTACAGAATATTCCTGCTGTATAACCACCTGCTTACRGAAGAAGTAATCTAATTTAGGAAGCTAATAATTAGCATTACAAACTCTAGCGTGGTGGCACAACAGTATCACTTTCAAATTGCAACTGAGTATACTGCCAGCAGAAAAACATTTTCCTGAAAATAATCACTTTCTTTAAAATAAATAACTCAATGCAGTCTTACTGAGTACTTAATATGAACTACTAAAGCAACTGGCAATACCAAGGTGGGGGGGGAAGGGAATCACACCTAACACACAAGGCTAAAGCTCTTCTCCACAGGAAGAAGGGCACAGGAAGATACCACATGTCAGACAAACCTTTAAAATATCACTTAAGTTTAGTTGAAAAATTATTYACTACACCTCAGTTTCAGTCCTAGAAGAGTACAAAGTTCCCTATAYCTAAAACACAGCATTGTKACTAYTCAAGTAWTTTTAAATTTATTTCCATGATCAGGGAAACCAAGGGAACATACTTCAGTTTGGAGTTCACGCTGAGATGGATAAAGCTGATCCCTGTTAAAGGCATCAGATTCCATCCAGCAGTGCTTATTTCAAATATGATTGAAATCCATACACCTCTAKGAAAACAGTCATAATGCAGAAGGAAGAATAACAGCAGTTTTTCAAGACACATTACAGAAGCAGCGCCATATAAACCTTAAGGACTACAACAACAGACATTTAAGACTACCTTTGATTAAAGTGGGCCTTCAGTTTTCAGGACTCTTCTGGTTTTGAGATTGCACTTATTGTGGAAGCTACTTTTATTTGAAAGAATGATGCTTCCAGAAMACAGCAAATATGACAGCAGAAAGAAAAGAACCAAGACCTCTAAAATTTATGACCATGAATAAGGAAGGAAGAAAAATATCTATACTCAAAAAACATCCAAACCTATCTGCCAACTGGTGTGTGAGAGGCTCACACTTTTGGGAAACTCTGAATATTGATCAGCTGCTTTCTCATGATGCCAYAGGATATATACAAGCGCTTGCATCCAGCTTTCCATTCTTTTTGCCTCTGACTTCAGTCAGGAGGCCCCYTTCTAAACCTTTAGTTATCCAGACAACTCACACAGAAATTAATTGCCATTTTATCAAAGGTAACGAACTGYGACTTAGAATAAAACTTACTAGGCACTAAGCCTGAATTTCTATGGCTTAGTTACCAGCAGATTGTTACTATATACAACCCTTCACTAYAAATCTAGCTTCAATTAATTATTTYTAAAYRCATCAAGTCAGAACATTTCCATTATATTGCTGTGTGATTACAGGAAAAACCAAACACAACACACCGGTAATGTAAGMGCTATTAACTACATTATTTGAGACTCACATCTCCGCTTCACGAGGTAAASCAATTAATCTCTCCTGTACTCATTTTTCTCATGGTCTTCCACCAGAACTTTGGCAAAAGATATGATGAAAGAGGAGTCAAAGACTCCCATCTCACGCCTACCCACTCTATCCTCTCCCCTAACTTCCTTAGCAGAACTAGAACAGGTCACATCAGGCATTGCAATCTGATCACATGAAAACAGCTACTTGGACTCCTATCCCAACACTGCTGGATGCACAGTCACTGCAGCGAGTCCCTAGGAGAGATGTGGATGACTGTAGGTCAGGAGCTGAGAGCAGTCAATAAAGGAATGGCATGGAAAGAATCARCAGAAACCCTCACGACTTTGGGTATGGGCACTAAGAGAGCAGCAAGCTCTGCACAGCACATCACCGGGCAAAGCAGGGTGCAGGGAGCCCTGGATGCACATTGGCACTGGCAGCCACATCAAAAACATTATTTATCTTCCGAAGGAGAAATTACAMATAAAAGGTATTCAACTTTGAAGCTGGATGTCAGCTAAAAAAAAAGAAATGAGTAATGTCAGTTCTGAGGACTTATTAGATAGCCAGAAACTTTCGAAGAAATATTCGGAGAAAGCCTTGTAAAACCCCCACCACACCAATGCACAAATAAAGCCAGCATAGACCCTGTACCTTAGTCCTCATGTCACAGCCCTGAAAACACTCAGAA